AGAAAAAAATGTCTATGTAGCTTTTCAATCTTATAATTAATACAAATCATTTTTATTTTGCATAAAAATCCTGTCTAGTCATCAGCAATGTTTCTCTGTTTTTTAATTATATTCATTATATAATATATTAATATGTTTTTTTATTCTTCCACGTTACTTGATGTTTTATAACCGTAAAATTAATCTAAGTAATGATAGTAATAATTTCAACGGATTTTAGGGCAATGTAGTTAGGGATTTATACGGTTTTTATTAATGTTTTGATTATTTCTTATGTTTAAACGTTTCAAACGTTTTCTTTTTCACAGTTCCTGACATTGTAAAAATCTTCCTGTGAGAAAATTTGAGATAAAATTCTCTATTCAAGCAGATATTACCATAGAAATTGTACGAAATTGAAATAAATCCAATTTTGTCATTATTATAAAACAATGTACAGGGTATGCCAAAATTATTGCAAGTCTCTGGAAAGAGTTTCCTGAGGTAATTTGAAAACAACTTTTTCCTTAGCGAAAATGTTTTCCGTGGCTTCGTTAACGAGTTATTAATGAAAACCGTAAACCAATCAGAGAGCAAGTTCAGCTGACGCGTTACCGCGCGATAACAAGTTTTACGCGGTATTGGTCGCGGAGGCGGGGCGCCAGCAGTACTTGCTCTGTGATTGGACCGTGTTTTTCTTTAATAACTCTTTAACAAAGTCACGTAAAAAGTTTTCGTAAAGGAAAAAGTTACTGTAAATCATCATCTCTCGACGACAGAAGTAGAAACATTTGACTGAAAAATAAATTCATCACTCCTCGATCCTCTTGAGCTACGCAGCTTCCACTCATATTAACGATGTCTTTTTATATTATTTTTTATTTGTGTTACAAATTGTTTGTATTACGAAGCTAAAATAGAAGCTATCGATGCATCGCGCGATCATAACATGTCGATATCGCCGATGTTCATCGAAATCAGTATCGATGGTTATACCTTTATTAACGATTATCGTGTAATTGGAGGATAGCCTGCGGTCGTCTATTGGCCGGCGCGGCAATCGACTTATGTCATAGTCGAACAGGAGATAACAGTAACAGTACAATGCACTTGGAGCAACGCGAGATCGCTTCGACGTGAAAGTGCATACGGAACCAAATCGCCCGAGCTGCAGTTTCTCTGTGGGCTGAAATGAAAACTGAATCGTAGTCGTTTCGTGGCAGATATAGAAAATGCCCGAACCGGAACAGGAATTTCGAAAGTGAGAGAGCAACTTGGGCTCGGTTGTTTGGGTGTTTCGATCGCCGCGACAAGCCGTTATGATTGGAAAGAAGGAAAGAAGCAGCCCCTGCTCGAGATGTGAAAGCGACGACGGATATACAAACTAATCAGTCGATATCGCGAAATTAAGTAAAACGAGCGATCGCACGTTTCTTCCGCAATGATAAGAGGATTTCTCGACGGCGATCTAAATGTAACTTTTCACCATAGATACAACAAGATAAACAAGATATCAACAAGATGAACGCGGGTTTAGACTGTCTAAGCAGGTTTAGAATTGTCATAGCAACTGTTTAATATTTCATTTTATTATTATCGTTGAATTGGGGCCAATTATTGTTGGATTATATCCAATATAATTGGATATGCATAATTTGAAATCGAATTAGATAACCTTCGAATTAATTTATAAAATAATACAGCTAGTTTGATATTGCTCTATAAAGTAAACAAATTATGATAACATAATATAATTGATGTGATATTGTTGTGTAAAATATATAAATTACAATAATATATTATAATTGACACGATATCGTTATCTTTATATAAACAAATTATAATATTGCAATGTAATTAATGTACTGATGTCTTCTAAAAATGGCACATTATAACAATATAATATAGTTATAATATAGAATATAAATATAGAATAATACTAATGTGAAACAATAATATAGAATATAATATAGAAATGTATAATATAAGAATATGATATAGTTAAAATGTGACGTTTCTCTATAAAATAAACAATTTAGAACAATATAATGAAATGAACAGTAACGGTGATAAAATGAGCAAATAATGTAATATTCAATTTTAGAGTCAAACTTAATCAAATACTGAATTAGATGTAGGAGTTCAGCCGTATTAAAAGTGACAGTGGTTTTTAATTCTGTCTTGCATGAGTGGTAACCATTTCCATATGTCGCAAGATTGTTGCATCAGATTTTGCAGTATTATTACGTGCTTGCAATTTATTTATATGTTGAAAAATAGTATTCTTGAAACATGTTATTTTTTATTTTATTTCCTACCATATACATTGGAGCATTAACGTGCGATTTTTATATTTCAGATATTTATCTGCTAGTGTGGATGACTTTGAATTTCTCTAAGAAAATGTCTAAAGTTGAATCGAA